ACCAGAGACACACTACAGTGGGTAGCAGACCAGAGACACACTACAGGGGGAGGAGAAGAGAGATTAGGGTCAGAAAAAAGGGGGTGGGAATTGTATGGGAGATATAACCAAAAATGAAAATGCATACATTATGCAAAAATGAAAAATGATGTAAGAATTATATAAAATAAAATAATAAAAAAAGAATATTTGTGATTCAAAGGGAAAAATGTCAAAACATTAACAGGGAAATGGAAAAAACTAATTCCCATCCTCACAGGGATATTGAAGGGTTAAGATTTCACTGGAGGAGATAACTGCAGATGTGGTGGAAATCACAAGAGAACTAGGAATAGAAATGCAGCATAAATTTATTATGCAATTCACTGCAATTTCATCATAAAATTTAAACAATGAGGAATTGCTCCTTATGGATGAGTGAAGAAAATGCTTTCTTGAAGTGGAATCTATTCTTGGTGGCAATGCTGTGAGAGTTGTTGAAATAACAAAAAAGGATAACAAATATGACATAAGTTTAGTTGATAAATCAGTGTAAGAGTTTGAGAGGAATCACTAATTTTTTTAAAAGATTTATTTATTCATGCATACAAGAACCAGGGTACAGGCCTGATGTTTGGGAGGGGAGAGGATTCACCAGAGACAGAGTGGGGAACAGAACAGGCAAACTGACTGAAATACACTGCTGAGGGGAGCAGTGGGTGAGACAGGAGAGGTCTGTCATGCCATGTGGGTATCTCCCCGGCTGGCCGGGATCGAACCCATGCTGCAGAGGCTGCAGACAGCTTCACAGCACTGCACTCAACCGCCTGCACCACCAGGGAGGCCCAGGAGTCACTAATTTTTAAAGAAGTTCTATGTGGGTAAAACTTTATCAAGCAATATCATATGTGATAGAGAAGTAATTCATGAAAGGAAGAATCTCACTGCAGCAAACTTCACTCTTGTCTTGCTGGGAATTGCCACAGTCATCCAAACCCTCAGCAATCACCATCCTGATCAGGCAGCAGCCACAGCAGTTGGCAACTTCCCCTGCCTTGCCAGCAGCCAGATTTTTCCAGAATTGTACACAGCAATCTCAGGTGAACATAACATTTATTTATATATTGAAATGGATGAGGAGTTCCTTAATTCTCAAGGCACATATAGTTTTTTCATAGGTTGTAGAGTATAGACTTCTAGTTATTTTCCCAATATAATATCCCCAGCTTTCTTAGTATCAGAATCCCAGCTTTATGTACACTGATAGTGCAGGTAGTTCAAAGAACACATATCCCAACCTGCAGTGCAGCAATATGTGACCACTTAAATGAGTTCTGTGTAATAGGATATTTGTGAAAAGGCAGTGCAGGCCTTTCTATGGCTCTTCAAAAAGAACAGACTCACTTGGGAGATTTGCCCCTTGAACATTTCTTCTTTCCTCCTTCTTCTGACCTTGTGCCTGATGACTGTTTTGGAGCAGAAGGCAACCTTAAATTTAAGGAGTAGCTCTAGAAAGGAAGAGCATAAATACAATACACACCAGAGCCTCTGACCGAAAGGACAAAAATATCAACTCTGAACTGCCGAGTTCTATTGATCTTTCTTGAGAAATGTCTGCTCAGGCCACCATTATTTGGGGTTTTCTATTATATATAACCAAACCTAATACTCTCTAGTATGACTTACCAGTTTATACACTGTCATACTTTCAGTGGGAATAACTACAAGACAAGCCCATCTGTATCATGAGAACATCATTAATCATACTCACAGTATCATGTCCATGTGTTACACTAAAATTTCCCATTTCCATAATAGTGAGGAGAGGAAGGAAAGAAAGGAGAAAACAGAAGAGAAAACCCTATTCTGCCATTGTGTGTTATTATCTGTGACCTCTAGTAGACCACAAGGGAGCGTACCCCACCTTATTGTTTACCCTTATCTTCAGTGTGCCAGGCATGGTTCAACCATTTTGTCATTTGTTTGTTAAAGGAATGAAGTGAGTGATTGGATGAAGGAGTAAATGTGATGATAAGTGATTGGATGAAGGAGTAAATGTGATAACAAGGCTTTTTTGCTGCTAGCATGGTTATTATGCACAGAGAAATAATGGATCTTCATGAAAACTTAATTAATCTGTTCATAAAAAAATACTAAAGGCCAGACAATAAATTAGTAACCTGGTCATTGGCATCCATGTGTTCATGGAAAGGGTCAGAAGTCAAGAGGAGTTTGGAGCATAAATGAAGTTGAGAAAGAATTGGTGGATATCACTCCCTTCCTATTTCCTGTAGCAAAACTCATCCGCATCTGTGCCTCCACTCCTGCCCTGGAATAACCCAGTTTCCCATTTTGCATATTGGTTTAAAAATCAGAAAAGTAAAACAGAACCTCAAACAAGCAGCATACTGAGTACCTCTACCACCTGAACAAAAAGCATATGGTAATTTATAGAAATTGTGATCATTATTTTTCCCCGTCACTGGTTTTGGTTTGTCTGCCTTTCAGAGTGAGAATAAAACACTTTCACAGAACTATTCAGAAAGTTGGAAAATGCTAGGTATGAAAATGATTTTCATTTTTGGACAGATGTGATATAGCTTCAGAAGCTATTTATATCCAACAGCTATACCTGTCTTTGAGAAACTTGATTTTTTAAAAAAATTAATGCACGAGGAAAGACATTAGAACTTTCTATATAGAGTCTGTGGTAATTCTTTTGCTGCTTGGACTTAAAAATATTAATATGTAAATGCTTTGTTGATATGGGTATTTTTGTTTAATTATATTTGAAAAAATATAACTAGGTGTATAATTTTTGTAAAGACAAGTTTATGTCTTCATTTTACAGAGTAGCTAGATATAGTCACTTTGTTAGTGTTCTCTCAAAATTCATGGATTCAGGCAATACCTATCAAAATGATACATGATAGTAAGAAATAATTATTCAGAATTACTCAGATAAATTCTCTAATCAGAATTTTTGATAATTTAAACTAGAACTCAGATTAAATTAAAATGCAGAATCATTAATTCAAAAATTTAATAATTATATTCAAGATGAGACCATATATGAAGTGCTTAATATTTTTCAATCACCTTATAAGTGTTAGGATTTATAATTTATTAATAATGTAATAACATTAATTACAACACATTACTCATCAAGTTCAGAGATCCCAAGTTGGTAATTGATTTGTTTTTAACATTTAAAAATTAAGACTGTATTCATTTAAAAACTGTATTCATTTAAAAAGAAAAAAACCGTTCTACTGAAACTCTAATGAGTAGAACAGTCAGGTAGAGGAAATCTGCAGCAGGACTTGTGAGTGACAAATGATTTCTACAATAATTAAGCAAGTCAATAGTCAAATTTTCCAAATTTGGATTTGTGGCTTACCACTAACAGAAAAAGCAGCAAAAAAGAAAACTGTAATTGAAGTCTTCAAAATTATTTTCTAAGTGAATGTTGACTACAATCCATAGGTTTATGCAATAAGTATATGTACATCTTGGAGATAGGTTACCATGTAATGATGGAATAGCAAACTGATACACAAACACAGAATACCTATACTTATTATTTTAAAAAATGTGTTTCTATGATTGCTCTTATACTGAGTGCATTACATGAGCCAGGTGCTGTGCTAAATCGTGATATTCCATTTATCCCTCAACAGAGCCCTATTACAATGCAATTACTTCATGTTTTTGTATAGAAATATGCATTTCCAGCACCCGCATTTCATGGTAGAAGGAAAACAGGGAATGTTCCATCCAAGATTATGACATGGGAGGATCCTGATCTCATCTTCTCCCATAGACACATTGAGTTTACAGAATAGTACCTTTAGCGTGGACCTCTTCTCATGAAATGAAATAAATCAGAGAGAGAAAGCCAATATCATTTCAACTCATTGTAGAATATTAAAATAAAGCAAATGAAAAAACATAATAAAAACAAACCCTTAGACTCTAACAGAATATCGTTTACCAGAGGAGAAAAAGGGGAGGGGGTGAATAGAGGGGGCCAATTGTTTAGTGGTAGATGGTGACTGGACATTTGGTAGTGGGTATAATGGCATATGAACAGTTGCTAAGAGGAGAAATTGTACACCAGATGCCTATACAGTGTTGTAAACTAATGTTACCATAGTAAGAAGAAAAATAAATATATCAGTCTTTTCAAACCTAACTGCACATCAGAAACCTCAACGGAACAGGGTTTCTGAATCACCGGCTCTACAGGTGTGTTCCTGGACAGGTATGCTGAAGACAAACATTAGACAAAATTACCAGTGGACCCTGATGCACAGCCAGGGTGGAGGACTCTGGACTGCAGAGGCTTTGTATTTCAGACTGCCTGACACCAGTAAGCAGATGATTGTTGTAGAAAGATGATTGTTGCATGAAAGAAAGAATCCCTATCAGAGTGGCTAAGTGGGGAATCAAAGGAAGAAATGAAAGGTATAGGAACACTGACAGTCGTGACAGCATGGAGGTAGGGAGGAAGTCTGTAAACTGAATCACAAACTCCTGAGGACACAGTGACATTCATCGCCCTCTCCTCCAAGTGAGTGCCCAATCCATGATTCATACATTGTGAAACTGAATAATTATTTGTTGAATGAATAATTGAATCAAGTAAATATGTGGGAAAAAAATTCTGGAAGACTGGTGACTATAGAATATGGCATCACCAACATGCAAAATGGAAATTCAGAAAACAAATATCTGCAGAAAAAAAAATGTGAATTCAGTTTTAGACTTTCTAAGTCTGACATTCAGGTAAATGGACATGATATTAGAGGTTCAACTTTGACAAGTCTGTCTGTATACAAAGAAAGATAATAGGGGTTCTAAGTTTCTCTAAGTTTCCATTACCCCCTACTGTTTCATTTTTCAGTGACTAGGACACTAAAATCTGCATTATGCTTCTAACAGGCTAAATCTGCTCTGGGGTCGACTGAATGCCACTAGAGGTTCTGCTGTCTGCTCGAGAGAATTCCTGATTGCATGACAAAGACGCAAAGAACAGTAAGTCTTGGTGGAGAAGGAATGTGGGAAGAAGGGAGCCCATGAACCACATGTATCATAAATTAAAACAGAAAAGGATTAAGGTTATGGGGGCTGTAGATCTAGGTTTCAAAGCAAACTGCCAGTTGCCCACTATGCCTGCCCAGTTCAGTGCATCTCACATGCTCGGAGCACACATACACATACTCACATCTGAAGACAAGTAAGTGCCCAAAGAAAGTGTTGAGTAAATTCCCACTACCTGACTGACTATTTTTTGAGCCATAATATACAAAGAAATGCTTCAGGGGAAAAGTAAGTGCACAACCAGAAGTCAATGCTGTCTATTATTTCTCCCATCTCAGTGCAAACATTTCAACTTTAAAAACTTGCTTCCCTTATTTACAGATTGAGTCTTAGTGATGCATTTCCGGTTACATTAGTGAATAAAAATCTGACATGCACTGCTTTTATATACTGTGTAGTGAAATTAATAGAAAGAAATACCCTCTTTTTAGTGACTTTCTTTTTTCACATTATGATTCAGTGAATATGCTGGTAGTTTAATTTGTGTATGCTTCAGGGCTAAAAACAGAACACAAACATTTATTGAAGGCTGGACTAGAAAATGGTAACACTTGGGTGAAGAACAGGTTAATTAACATGGTAAGAGGGAGAATGACTACTGAGGAGGAAGAGGGGATTTCTTCTAGCTTTTAAGTTGTTGTTGTTTTTTTTAAAGGCTTATTTTTTTTATTTATGCATACAAGAGCTGGGTGTAGGCAAGAGGTATGGAGGGGAGTGGTGGTGAAAGGATTCACCAGAGACAGAGTGGGGAACAGAACAGGCAGATCTACTGAAATACTCTGCTGAGGGGAGCAGCAGGTGAGACAGAAGAGGTTTGCTGTGCCATGTGGGTAGCTCCCTGGCTGGGGATCGAAATTTTGCTGCAGTGGGTACCTACAGCTTCATAGTGCTGAGACAACCCTTTGCACCACTAGGAAGGCTCTGGCTTTTAGGTTTTTAATCTACCTACTTTTTCCATCATATCTAGGAAATAGGGGGAAAAAATGTGATTCATAAAGTGCTAATCCCCTAAAAAAACATCTAAACTCATAGGAAAAGAGATCAGAATTGTAGTTACCAAATGGGGAGTGAGGGAAGAAGGGGAATTAGGAAAGTGGTCAAGAGGTACAAACTCCCAGTAAAAAGTAAGGGTTGGGGTGTAATGTACAACATGATGAGCACAGCTAACACTGCCGAGTGGTAAGTAAGAAAATTATTAAGAGACTAAACCCTAAGAGTTCTCATCACAAGGAGAAAAATTTTCCCCTTTTTTGTTTTTATTGTATCTTTATGAGAGATGGAGGTTAGTTGAACTTATTGTGGTAATTATTTCAGAATATATGTAAATCAGGCCATTGATACATGCCTTAAATTTATACAGCAATGTATGTCAATTGTTTCTCAATGAAACTGGAAAAAATATTAATACCAAAAAATAATGTCACCTCAAGACCTTTGATCATTCTTTAATTATGGAAGAAAGAGCATCTGAAACAGAAGCCACTAGCAACTCAGAAATACAAAGCTACTACCTCTATAAAGTCAACATGACAGTAGGCTTGTTCAAAGAAGAAATGTCTGCTTACTTATATATGAACCATATAAGATTTATTTAGGTTGATATTACCTTAATTTACTAATAATCCCTGAGAAATATAGCTTCTGTGGATTCCTCAGAATTTATCCTGAATATTCTATCCAATGATTCACTTAAATCATTGCCCAGAACTACTGGCAACCTATCAAGTTCTTTGAATTTTCTGTCTCCCTTAAAGCCCTATTACCAAATACTTCATGATCTCCCCTCCAGGCAGAACCAGCACTGGCAACTATACAGATCATTAATACACCCACAGAGCACCTTCCTGCACAACACATGAATACATTTGTGAAATTGGCAGAGTCAATGGCCACTTTCAGTGTCTGCTTCCTGCTCTTTATTCTCTTGTGAATTTTCTCCCTACCCGTGATATCTGTCTCCCAGCCCCTGTGTGTTCCTGTATTCTTTCTCTCTATTAAGACACAACAGATTTGTATCATTAGCTTGTCTTTGATAGAAACACTTTCACACAAAGTGCCACTTCTTTCACATTTTCCCATTAAATGTCTGTGTGAATCAGTATCTACCTGTAAATGGAAGATTTTGTTTTCTACTTAGAGTTGAAAGAGTTCCTTAGCTCAACGTTAAGTACCTTTCAATGCCTTGAAGACAGATCTGCTTCAGATATTAAACTACCTAAAGTAGAATAAAATCATAAAATAAATTTGATCCTTGGGCCAGTGTCTTCTTTTCTCTTTTTTCCCATCGCTTAATTTCATCATCCTTTTCCCATTCCTCTGCCCAAGGCTTCCCAGGTGGTCTGGACCCAGGGCCAAAAAACTGCACCCTCTCTAGTTCTCCCACCAAGAACAGAGTGTTCACATATGCACTTAGTGGGGGTCTTCTGGAATCACTTGGGAAGCTTTTATCAAACGATGTGTCCAGTGCATTCCCTCATTTTCCTGTATCCCTGTTAGGCTTCTTTTTATTTATTTATTTATTTAGTTAGTTAGTTAGTTAGTTATTTAATATAATTCTTACATCATTTTTCATTTTTGCGCAATGTATGCATTTACATTTTGGTTATATTCCCCATACAATTCCCATCCCCCCCTTATTTTGACCCAATCCTTCCTCTCCTCCCCTCTCCCCACCCCCATAGTGTGGTCTCTGGTTTATAGTTGCTTGTTAATTTTGATTTTTTTCTTTATTATATAGTCTTTTTCCTGGTCCCTTAGTTAGGTTTTCTAAATTCCTGCTATGAGTGAGACCATCTGGTATTTTTCTTTTTCTTTCTGGCTAATTTCGCTGAGCATGATCCCTTCCAGCTCCATCCATGTTGCTGCAAATTGCATGAGTTTATCTTTTTTGATTGCTGAGTAATATTCCATTGTGTATATATACCACATCTTCTTGATCCAGTCATCTATTTTTGGGCATTTTTGTTGTTTCCATAGGTTAGCTATTGTAAATAGTGCTGCTATAAACATAGGGATGCAGGTGCCCTTTTGAATTAATGATTCTGTGTCCTTTGGGTAAATACCTAGGAGTGGAATTGCTGCATCATGTGGAAGCTCTAGCAACAGCAAATGTTGGTGAGGATGTGGAGAAAAAGGAATTCTCCTGCACTGTTGGTGGGAGTGCAAAATGGTCCAACCACTATGGGAAGTTGTGTGGAGATTTCTCAACCTACTAAAGATAGAACTTCTATATGATCCAGCAATTCCTGTTAGGCTTCTTTAAGTCTTATCCCCTCTCACCGCGATGAAAAAACAGTGCTAACACCTTGTTGGGGGAGGAAAGGCAGACAAGATGGTGGGGACTATCCCATGACTGCCAGGTAATTATTCAGGAATACTGCAGAAGGCAATCCCTGTTCCACTGGCCTCAAAAGTGAGCCTCCAGACACTGAAGACAGTTACCAAAATGAGCAGATTCTTCATACAACTCAAAGGAGGGAGAGAGAACTAGAGGCCTGGCAGTGTAAAGAGGCATCAACAAGCCCCTGAGCTATGGAGATCGTCACTATTCCCAGTGTTACCATGTTTGGTTATCAATATGATAAAGTCAGTAGACAACATAGTGCATCAATAAAATGTGTTAACACAGAAAAGCATATAGATGCTTACTAACAAAGTACAAAAAAGATTAAAGTTTGACTATTTTAAAAGTAATCTAGAAATGGGAACAAGGTGGCATACATTTTTGAGCTCCCTAAATCCTTCCCCACCATAAAAACAGAAGAACTAAGGTGCAAGGGCAGACTACATCTACACTAAAGTGGTGGGAAACATATGACTATGAACCCCAGACGCATGTGTGTTAGAATAAATTACTAGTGATATAAGACCTGCATAGATTCAGCAGATGTGCTAGATGAAGCGGGAAGGTAGTGGAAGCTCTTCTGATGGCTCTGAGAACCAGAGTCAAGGTGGCTCTAAGGTAAGGGTGAACTGGTTCCAATTTGTGCATGAATGAAAAAAAAAAAAAAAACCAAAAACCAAAAAAACAAAAACAAAAACAAAAAAATTCCCAGGTGAGTCAGATTATGCTAAGGGCAGCCTGGGTACCATGTTCTTGCAAAAGACAACACTTACCAGACATCTGCTCTAAGACATTACAGATGTGCCCTCTAAGGCAAAGCCTCACATTGAGGAAAAACTGCTGGAAATGGAATCCAAATTGAGCAGAAAAGGGGAGATCCAGAGCAAAGTGGGGGAGAGGGACAGAACCAGCAGCTATCAGACATATATTTATAAACACTGAAGCTAGGAAGCTCTCTTGATCCGTCCTTCCCTTCTAAGAGTACAGGAGAACTAAAGGTGATTACATATTAGTAAAGACAAAAGTTGCTGTCAAAGTTCTCATAAGGAAAAGTGAACTGAGATTTACAAAATTGTCTCTGCTGCAAATAAAAGCATGCCAAGACAGGCAAAACTAGAAATTTATAATCTAATATTTCAAGCCAAAGGAAAAACAAATTGAAAAAAAGTATACTAATTTTGAAAGAACAGCATAACCTGGATTTAGGGGAATAAAAAGAAGCTAATTAGGAAAACAAAAACTTAAAAGGGAGTTTATAGCATTTAGGAAAATATTAAAAAGAAAAATTTGTTTCAACGTTTTAGGCTAAGTATGATAAAACACCAGAATAATGCCTTAAGTAAAAGAGAAGAGGAAAGAATAAATATTTTAAAAATAAATAAAAGATATAGATGGGGGGAGAAAGACTTAGGCAACAGTCCTAAAATATACTTTTCTCCACTTGGAATAATATATATGTATATAGAATATATGTATATATGTATGCATATGATTATTTCAAGTGTAGAAAAGTCAAAATTATACTACTGTTTTGCTAATAAAGGAGAAGGGGGATAAAAATAATTTGCATATTGATTTTGTGTATTTATAT